CAAAATTTAATGTTCACTAATCATAGTCAGTGGCTTAGCAAGGATGGCCTGCGAATAGGGCATCTTAATATTTACCATTTACTCGGCAAACCGCCTGAGCTGTCGGTTAGACTTAACAATCAGTTTCATATTTTTGGAGTCACTGAAAGTCGTCTAAACAACAAAATTAATGATAATGAAACCACTATTAAGGGATTTAAATTAATTCGCAAAGATGCAGTAAGAAATATTCCCATAGATGTGATCTTGAATCTATAGCTGTAGAATGTGTCTGGTTAGAAGTCAAGCCATCAAATCAGCAGTCAATTTTCATTGGGTACTTGTATCGAAATCCTTGTGCAGGTAATGATTGGTATGATGACTTCACTTCTATGATGGATGTAGTTTTAAGTTTAGGAAAAGAAATTTTACTGCTAGGAGACTTTAACATTGATACCAATAAACCCAACCAGACGTGGGGGGATATAATTATATCATATAACCTTAAACAGTTAATTAACTTTCCCACGAGAGTTACAAAAACATCTTCAACCACCATTGATCATATTTATGTCTCCTGTCCAGAAAATATTACTGAATGCACCGTTCCTATTACAGCAGTTAGCGACCATTATCCGGTGTGCTGTACATGGTCTAAATTTGGCTTTAGGTCTCCTAAAGATAGGCACCTCACAATTAAATTTAGAAATTTTAAAACCTTTAATTCAGACGTATTTTTAAATGATTTGCGAAACGCACAGCTAGATCATGTTTATCAACTTTCTGAACCAGACGATGCTATAGCATACTGGACAAAAACTGTTTACAATGTGTTTGATAAACATGTGCCGGTTAAAGAAGTTAGGGTTAAAAATCAAACTAAGTCTCCATGGATCACTAGTGAAGTTTTGGAGGTTATGAGAGATCGAGACATGGCACATAAAAATAAAAATGTCACTTAGTATCGTACTCTAAGAAATAAAGTGCAATATATGATCCGTAGGATAAGAAAGATCGTTTTAATAAGTTGATTATAGATAAATCAAACAGTACAGACATATGGAAGGCTATTAACATGCTGACCATCAGGAAACGTCATTCAGATTCTGTAAAACCAGATTCTCCTACATGTAATGATTTCAGTAATTTTTTAAAATCAGAAATAGAACATTTAAAATCCACCATACCAGAAGCACAGAGTGACTTAAGCCTGTTGGCATCATTTAGTGATGACAAATGCATTAATGCTAGTCCTTCTGAGATTCCTCTCATGTCTGTTGCTGAAGTATATAAATACCTCACCAACCTCAAGCAGACAAACTCGTCTGGCTTGGATGGTGTCAGCAATCGAATTCTTCGATGTGCTGCACCAGTGATAAGCGATTCCTTAACTTTCATATATAATAAGTGTCTTGCCAAGAACTACTTTCCTTCTGCATTTAAAGTTGCAAAAGTTTATCCTCTGTATAAACCTGGCTCAACTGATAAAAGTTATGAGGGTAATTATAGACCAATTTCTTTACTATCATCACTATCAAAACCATTAGAGAAACACATACATAAAATAATATTTCAGCATTTAAATAGCAACAATCTAATCATCGATAGTCAGTCAGGGTTCAGGCCTAAATACTCTTGTCATACTGCCTTGACAAAAATGACAGACAACTGGCATGTTAACATCAACAATGGCAAGATGTGTGGAGCAGTTTTTGTTGATTTTAAGAAAGCATTTGATATGGTTGATCATGATATTTTAATTAACAAATTAATTACCTTAAAAACTAACAACAATTTAGTAAATTTAATAAAGTCATTCTTGTCTGATCGACGACAAGTAGTTTTCTTTGAGAACTGCATTTCATATTCCACACAACTAAATATTGGCGTTCCTCAGGGTTCAGTACTTGGACCATTGCTTTTTGCCACATATATTAATGACCTTCCGCTACATCTTAGCATAACATGTGACTTATTTGCAGATGACTGTACTATATACACTAATAATGAGAACTATGATGAGTTAGGACGTTTATTACAGAATGAACTAGATAAGCTTATTAAATGGAGTAATGCTAATCGCATGCAAATTAACATAACTAAAACTAAATCTATGATAATAGCAACCAGACAAAAGTTACAGATGTTGGACTTAAACAAGCCTCCACTTGAGCTCTATGTTGACAAATTACTTATTAGTAATGTTAATGAACACAAAACATTAGGTGTTATAATTGATAGCAATTTAACTTGGTGTTCTCATGTTCATGCCATAACCAAGAAAGTAGCACAAAAAGTTTATCAGTTAGCCAAAATTCAAAACTTTCTGGATCAGAGCACACGTAAACTATTTTATGTATCTTACATTCAAGCCCATATTGACTATTGTTCCACGGTTTGGGATGGCTGCTCCAAATCCAACTTAAAACGACTGTGTTCTCTACAAAATCGCGCTTTACACCTAGTCTCAGATAGAAAGCACGCTGACAAAAATCATCTCTATAGCCATCTAAGCATTCTCCTATTTAATAAACGATTAATTTTTAATAAAGGTAAATTTGTTCATAAAATATTAACTCAGAACACTGCAGATTATCTTTTCAGGTTAATTCACACCAACCCTAAGAACAGCAAACGCCTAAATTTATTTCATTTGCCAAAGCCTAGAATAGATCTATATAAAACAAGTTTGTCATATTCTGCTGCACATTTATGGAATCACCTGCCACTTGATCTAAAAAATATGAGTATGTAGGGAAAGAGGAAAGTATTCAAATCTCTAAAGGGTGTCACCCTGGAGGGGTGAATACTCTCCTCTTTGTTACCATTTTATATAGTTCATTACTTGTTTGAGAAAGGCCACCGACCGAAACGTTGTTTTGTGCAGGTTTTTCTGCTTCCCCATTTCGTTAAGCTTTTTTATCACATTTCACTGGAATTCCTTGGTGTAAGCTTGACTGCAGTCACCCTTATATATATATATATATATATATATATATATATATATATATATATATATATATATATATATATATATATATATATATATATATTTTTTTTTTTTTTTTTTTGATCTGGCTAGTAGGGATTATTAGATTTACACGTTTGGTGAAACATTAGATGTAAGAACTGCATTGATATTGTTATTTCAATGATATCGCAACGAGCTATGAAAGTAGTGGGGGTATTGGTAATGAAAAGAATTAGAAAATCTGTCTCTTACTGAATTGAACAGCGCACCATAAGTCTCAGAGGTCACATGATCAAGGTTTCACTTAGAATAATTATGATAAGAATCAGAAACAAAATTAAACCAAAAATCAGTGATGAACAATGGGGATTTGTAGAAGGAAAAAGTACAAACAATTCCATATACATCCTAAGGACAGTGTCAGAAAGAGCTATAGAAGTAAAGATTGATTTGTACTTGTGCTTCATAGACTATACAAAAGCATGTGACTGTGTGAGGCATGAAGAAGTAATCAAACTGTTAGAAAAATTAAACATTGATGGAAACGATCTACGAATAAAAAAAAATATGCATTGGCAGCAAACAGCAGCTATAAGAATTAACAACTGGCATGGAGGTTTGTTGGCACACGAAATGATACATGCTGCAGGAAGTCACAGACTGTGGAGAGGCATGATCGCCCACTCCAGTCGGCAGGGCACCTAATCATGATGATGACCATAAAATCCTTCGGTGCATTAGATCATTTTGTAATTCTTGCTATGATATTTAGTTCCTTCTCATGTTGTAACACACGGTCATAAACAGTACTTGATATGCTGTTGTTCTGCCAGGTATTTTCTTCCGCGTTATACCAAAAGCATTGAAGAGGATCTGTAACAAAGGTAACCGTTAAAGTAGTCCGAGGCTGATACTAACTGGTTGTCGGCTAATTGAATGCAAACCTTTCTTCGAACAAGTTCTGTCGATATCATGTTGATAATAAGTTCAAATGTTTAAGACCAGACGGTCATGTCTCGTCAACTCATCGATTTACCAGTCCTGTCCCAAATCTGTGTTCTTGTCCTGCTTTTGCAAACCATCTATGTATTTTTTCCTCCTTTGTTCATTTCCATCATATCTTCTAGCTGCCTTCTTATAATGTACCCCCACTGACTGTTACGTCTGTTTTCTCTAATCAGTTTATGGTTGCCATTTTCCCCCATGGTTGGCTCCCATACGTCTACTCTTCCATGTTATTCCTTTCATTCTCTTCCGAAGCAACTTAACCGCAGCCAAAAGAAGTTCCTTATCTTGTCTGCTTACTGCCAGCGCTTATCACTTAATCATGCTTGATCTTGTTGTAAATGATAATATTTTCATTTGTTTGTTTCCAAAACTGAGAAAAGTGTTTATGCCTATGCTACTCAGAATACTGCTACCCTACTTTAAGCTTTCAGCTCTTTGTTCTTTATTGAGTCCTCTTAGTTGGTCTATTTCAGGTAGTACTTTTAAAACAATGTTTGATAAAGATTATTTCTATCTGTTTGCTTTTTAAAATGAAATGGAAATGATCGGTTTCTGTTAATACATATCAACAACGTATTGAAATGGAGACAGCTGTGTCTTAAATAACAGTCGTTGTAATGTTCCTATTGATTTCATTAGGACGTTGCAATAGTCAGTAGTCTGGGCAATAAATGCTTTGAAAGAACTACCCAATGTCTACTTTATTAAACGAGGAAGTGGTATTATTATAGATGTCTCCACACCCATGAAGAAGCTGAAAACTGGTATTCTATATATCTCAACGCACCAGCTGGTATCCGTTTAACTTGGAGGAGATGTTTCTAGAGGACTCCAACTGGTCAGCAGCAATAAGGGTAACTGGAACTGAAAAAATATCCAGTTAATTGTCAGCAGTGCTTGATAATAGTTTCTGTTTAACTAAAAATGAGTTGCTTGGTGTAGAGTGCATAAACATTTATCGTTGGCACTTGTTGATCCCAGTGCTTCCGTGTGTTTACTCTTGGCGGTATGCCTAAGATATCACACTTATCTCTATCCTCAGTCCAGCCGTGGCCACCATGGAGATCACAGCATTTGAATATAAACGAAAGTTTCACAAGATGTTAAACCTTGGCGAGTGTTGTCAGCGGGAGATTGCTGTCAATATGGGAAATAACTCCTATTATATTGAGGCTCAAAAATGGTGAGTCATTTGGTTATTATGTGTTTAGGTTTTTCGTCTATCAGAACTGATGCGGACCACTCTTTCTTTCATCCGCCAGGAAACTATAGTTTTTTTTTCTGTGAGTCCGGGGGTGACTTATAAAACCATTAAGCCCCTGAAGGATCTAAGACAATGAAGACAGGGAACAGTGTCTGTAAGAAAGGGCATGTTGTACGCGTCTTTCTAGCCTTCCTGCTCTGTTCAGTTGGAATTATGAGTTAAATGATCACAGAGTAACATGCTCGGTGAATTGGTCTGAAGTGAGAAAGAAGTGCGCAATTTTCACCGACTTCACTCTCTCGCCATCTGGATCAAGTGGCAGGACAGATCGAGACGATTGGAGATGAAGTCAGTTGCAGAAAGGGACTATGGTGTTTCTATAAGCCTCCTCGTGCTCTTTGCCACCCGCAGCGCATTGCTGGTACTCGCGGTCAGGTCCGTTGAATTAAGAATTGTGATTTCCTAAGCACATTCAGCAGAGTCCAGAAGTTCATGCTTGGATAGGCAGATCCTGACTCATCGAACGCTACTAACCACTCTGCTACCCTTACCTGGTTGAGCTGGCCCGAAGGCTACTAACCACTCGGCTACCCTCACCTGGTTGAGCTGGCCCGAAGGCTACTAACCACTCGGCTACCCTCACCTGGTTGAGCTGGCCCGAAGGCTACTAACCACTCGGCTACCCTCACCTGGTTGAGCTGGCCCGAAGGCTACTAACCACTCGGCTACCCTCACCTGGTTGAGCTGGCCCGAAGGCTACTAACCACTCGGTACCCTCACCTGGTTGAGCTGACTCAAGGGCTACTAACCACTCGGTACCCTCACCTGGTTGAGCTGGCTCGAAGGCTACTAACCACTCGGTACCCTCACCTGGTTGAGCTGGCTCGAAGGCTACTAACCACTCGGTACCCTCACCTGGTTGAGCTGGCTCGAAGGCTACTAAACACTCGGCTACCCCCACCTGGTGGAGCTGGCTCGAAGGCTACTAACCACTGGGCTACCCTTACCTGGTTGAGCTGGTATGTCAAAGCCGTTACTCTGGAAGTGGCCGCTAACGCTGCTGGCAGCTAGGGGAGCCACGGGTGAGAGCTGGCTTCCAGGCTTGGATCAAAGGCAGGTGATTTGCCCTGAAAAGGAGGACGTGACAGGCTCCAAAGACCAGAGGTACTACCATTACTATTACAAACACATGCGCTACATCTTAAAATATATGATAGGGGTTAAAAAAAAGGGGCGGACAATAATGTGGATTAATGACATTAAAGACATTCTGCTAAACCCGGTATGCCAATAGCCAATGCTATCCCCCAACAATGGATCGCAAACTGCCCCCCTCCCCCACCAGCCCCCCCCCCCCCCCCCCCCCCCCCCCCCCACCCCCCCCCCCACCCCCCCCCCCCCCCCCCCCCCCCCCCCCCCAATCGGATAATAGTAAACATGCAAATTGATGATAATAATGAATGGTAATAACAGAAGTAAAATCAACACAAAGGTAACATGCCGAATATTACTCACAAAAACTGCATTTGCATTAGGTCCACGTGAATAAGAGACATCGAACATTGACTATAAGGACCTGAAGGTCACATACATATACTTCTTAGTAGAATGCTTAGAATCTGAAAGGTCAATATGGTTTTTTTCCTAATGAATGGGATCTCTCTGTGCCTCCCGACATAACACATGTTGATGAAACATAGCATTATGTAAGTTGTTCAATATCAGAGTATGAAACCGAGTATATATCAGCCATTCGTAGGCGTTAAGTTTATATGTATTTATGTTTGATGACAATGTTAAGTGCTTGATCGCACCACGAAATATATATATATATATATATATATTTACTATAATCACATATATATTTGTATATATTTATGCACACACACACACACACATATATATATATACAGATATATATATGTGTGTGTATAAAGCCAAAAAAATGATGTGGTTTGTTCTGCAACGTCCTGTAAATATATATATATATATATATTCACTATATTCACAAATATATTTGTATATATTTATGCACACACACACACTCACACACACACACACACACATATATATATATAGATATATATATATATCTATATATATATATACGTATATATATATTTATATATATATATATACGTATATATATATATATATATATATATATATATATATATATATATATATATTTATATATATATATATGTGTGTGTATAAAGCCAAAAAAATGATGTGGTTAGTTCTGCAACGTCCTGTAAAGGATACGCAACTAACTTTTTAAAACCATGTAAGTGGGATAAAGCAGACACATTCGCTGTTAGTGTTTCCCACTCATACAAACAACATTAGATCTATATAGCCAGGAAACAACGGACAATGGACACATTGAAAGATAACATGCACTCTTAATTTGAAATTTGCTTTTTTGTTGGGCAATGTTCTCTGCACTTTTAATGTTTATACGAAGCCCATATTTCAATGTGTTGCATACCATTAACTCATTCAGCTCCTTGTACAAGAAAGGTTCTGTGACCTACATCCCACAAGAGAGTAGTGAGTTCAAAAATGTCCTCATCACTTCAGCAGATATGGTTGTAACCCACCTGGGTCTGTGCACAGGAGAGGCTGCCTCTTTCCTAGGGATCCTCAACTCCGGGGACTGTGTGGCTGTGAGTATCCCTTCTCATTAAGAAGAATACATTTGAACGTTAAGTAAATGACCCCTTCAATTGGATACAACGGACCTACCTTGGCATATTTGTAATAGGTCTGTCTGCGATTATTTAATGTGCTGATGAACTTCACGCGACCGCCTTAATTTCCCATATTACTTTTTGGCTACGAATTATAGACTAGGTCAACGTGGTAGCCAGTTTGTTTTTTCCAGTAACAAATTCTGTCTTGTTGCAGATTCGAAGCCAAGATTTTTACACTCACAGACAAGCATCTTAATTTGCTTGTTATGAACTAAGCTTCTAATGTGTTGCTGATTGCACAGTACCCATGATATTAATTCAATGCTATTGATCTTACGAATTCGACTTATTTTTTTTTTAAATATCACTCTGTCTATCATGCTAGGTCTATTAATTTGACGATCTTAATTCCACTCTTAAATACTCTTAAAATATTCTTATAAACAAATGCGCAACTAAAAAAAAGTAGTGCAAAACAAACGATTAAGAACTGCAGGGTTGAATAACATATCAAAAATATCATTGCTTAAAAGAAGGAAGAATATAAAAACACGGATTAAATGCAAAAGTGAACAAGATTATGTTTTATATATTTCTTAGCAGAAATTCCCCTTGAGAACTGTACAAACAGGTTACAAATATGAGAACACGAGATGAATGCTACAATCCAACCACCAATATAAACAGTCAGAGGGGCAGTCCCGTATTTATTCCAAAATCAAAGGCTAGCAAAGAGCTACTCAACCTTGAAAACCAGTTAGATAACATCAGTTTTGTGCCTAAAAGCAGTGACCAACATGAACCATAATTTTTAACATCAGTAGTAAAAGCCAGGAGGGGGCTAAAATGTTAAATAGAACATGTTTTGATGTATGGCAGCGAATCTTGGAATGTCACTGAGCACATTAAGAAGAATTTGGAGATGTGGTTTTTGAGACGAATGTTACGAATACCTGTGACGGCTAGAGTAACTAAAAACGATTGCTTGAAAGAGGCTATTGAAAGTAGATCACTATATCCAACAATAAGAAAGAGACGCACACTGTTCTTTGGCCACATAATGAGAAGAGAGACATTGGAGAACATCGTGACAACTGGAAAGATCAGTGGAAAAAGGGGTAGACGCAGACCAAAAGAGATGATGCTGGATGGGCTGAAACGATGGCATTTAGGGATATCATTAAGAGAGCTGTTCCAGTCAACCAGGGATCGTGATCTGTGGAGACGCATGAGCACCTACGCCAGTTGAGAGGGCACATGATGATGAGTAAAAGCTGTTTTACAGAAGAGCCCTAAAAACAAAGCACCTGATTTAGATGAAATAACTATAGAAGCTATTCAAGCATGTGGTCAAACTGGCCTCAAATGGATGACAAGAATTTTCAGTATAGCATGGGAAAAAAGTTCCACTTCACTGGTAGCATGCATTGATAATACCAGTTTGGAAAAAATAAAGGTAACACGAGAGACTGTATATCGTACAGAAGTATAACACTCTTGAGCCACACAGGAAAATGTATGCGAAATTATTAGAACAGAACCTATAGCGAAAAAGCACCTAAGTACATCGAATTTTGTTTTAAGGAAGAGTAGCAAGGACTGGTATGTACAGGTTCCACTTACAAAAATGGAAAATGCCTGCGCAGAACAAATAGCCTCTACCAATCAATTCAACCGTACCTACATTTGGTGCTACCCGTTTTAACAGAAACAGCTCTGGCGCATTGCGAGTCTCCATCACTAACACATTCACAAGGCCCTACATGCAGATGACCTGGCCATATGGACCCAAGCTGAACATATAGGAACAACTAAAACAAGAATGCAGTAAGCTATATAAACAGCTAAAAAATGGACAGACTCTTGGGGAGTCACAATAAACCAGACCAAAACCGTCTCAAATCTTCTCTCATTCAACAAAGCCAGAACAAGCTGATCTTTACCTAGAAGGCAACATCTTTCTAAAAGAGGATAACCCCACTTATTTTGAAGTAAAATTCGACAAAAGGCTAACCTGGGGCACCCACAATGAAGAAACCCAAAAGAAAGCTACCCTGCGGCTCAGACTTATGAATAAACTAACTTAGAAAAGCTGGGTTGCAGATGCAAACATTGTACGACAGGATAAGTACGACTACAACTGGAGTATGGCATGGGAGCATACTCCACTGCAGCCAAATCAAACCTACACGAAATGGACAAAATACATAATACTGGTCTCAGAATCATCACTGGATGTATGAGAAGCACATCAATCAGTGAGCTGGAGGCAACTTTTGGCCTCCAGAGCTTGAGCCTTCAAAGCGAAGAAAAGGTGCTTACCCTAACAGAAAAATGTAAACGCATGAACAACAACCCCATGCACAGTATTGCAAATAACCTAACTAAAAACCAGCTGAGAAGACAAAGTATTCACCATCTATCAGAACTGTACTACACAAAAAACAGAGACATCCTTTCTAAAGATCCTTCAACATGGAGAATTATCCAGGCATACAGCCTAACTATACAGCCACAACAACAATTCCAGGAATAGACAGAAAGGCTGGAGAATGCAGGAGCTGGTTCGGTCATCATGCTGCAAGATGGGACCACAGTCGAAACATCATGCGCCTCCAGAAGACTCAACAAACTTCAGAGCAGCAAACTATTGTTGATTCAGCCAAAAAGCTTGGGGAAAGAAATATCAAAAACAGCAAAATTGTTGTCCTTTGTGACTGCATGTCAGTCCTACAAGCGACTAAGAGGGATCCACGAGACAACATGGAGAGAGAACTGACCCACCAGCTAAACAGACTCTCAGAAAACAATCAAATCGTTCTCCATTGGATCTCGGCTCACTGTGGAATACCAGGAAATGAGTTAGCGGACAGACTTGCCCAAAATAAAAATAAAAATGTATAAAGGAGAAACAACACACCCATCCATTGTCATTACCAGAAATCAGAACATTTATCAATAGAAAATTCAAGGAACAGTGGAAATAAAAAACTAACAGTAAATATCTACGAAACCCCATCAGCAGACTCAACAGAAAGCAAAATACAACAATTTTCCGTCTACAAGAAGGCCAATGCAGGCTCAACTACCACATGCATAAAAAAAAAATTGTACAGTCCCGACAGTGTGCCTGTCACACAGGACCACAAACACCTGAGCATATTTAGCAGACCTGCCGACTCTACCTACAACTTCGAAAAGACACCTGGCCACAAGAGCAAAGTGTGCAGAGCAAGCTATGTGGAACCATAAAGGACCTGCTGCTCACATGCGAGTAATAGCCACCTGACGATTTGATCTTACCATATGAAACTGAACGCAAAGAAGAAAGAAGAAGAGAAAGGTTTAGGAAAGGAAAAGGTTGTACAGAAGCACTATTTACACGAAGACAAGTTTGCGAGAAAACCATTGAAAATGACGAACTGAATAGAGTGTTTGTTGATCAAGAAAGAGCTTTGATAGAGAAGACAGAAATAAACTATGGACTATGCTTGAGGATTATGGGATACAAGGACAACTGCTAGATAACATCATGGCCATGTACCACCTCACCAAAGTACAGTGAGAACACAATAAGGCGTATCTGATATGTTTACAACCAATACAGGGGTGAGGGAGGGATGTCTGCTATCTCCTCTCTTATTTTATATATACATAGAGAGAAAATTTTAAAAAGCCAGCTTTAAATCTTTAAATCCGTCGACTCAGAAAATCAGGACCTTTACTTTTCAAAAGAAGAATTAGATCCACATACAATAAACGAGCTACTATTTGAAGATGATCAGTGTTCTACAATGAGAGGAGTAGACTGCAAGAACATTTGAACAGGCTAAGTTCAACATGCAGAAGTAATAACATGAAAATAAAAACTAATAAAACCGAAGTAATGCAGGTCATCAGAATTCCTAGTCCACTACATATCGGATTGAATGGTACTTGTCTGAAGCAAGTTAAAGAATTTAAATATTTAGTAAATATATTCTCCGAAGACGGAAAATAGATCTAGAAATTTAAACAAGATACCAACTAGCCAGTGCACTTCTATACCAACTGACACCGTTATTCAGACAACCAAACATAAGCATTAGCGCAAACAAAACAAAAACATATTATGAACAGCATATTCATACCCACACTTGCTACCATTACCAGACTTGGACATTATTAAAGGCTAACCTACGTAAAATGAACACCTGTTAAATGAGATGCTTGGTAAATGCCACCAATTTAACCGTCCGAGATAAAGTGATATTATATGACAAACTGTAGGAACAACACCATGCAGCTATTTCAATAAGAAACAGAAGCTAAAATGGTTTGGTCATCTTGTAAGAATGCACCCAGAGCAACTACCAATGCAGGCGCTACAAATGAGAAGATGTGAAGTGAAAGCAAGAGGACGCCCTATTAGAACATGGATTGATGAGATTGGAGAGCTTGTACATCGACATGGAATGACTAACCATTGCAGCCCATCAAGCAATGGATCGCAAACTGTTCCTCCCTACAAAGCTCCACGGCAGAAGGGGAAATAGTGATGATGATGATGCACTGCATCTATAGCGTTAATTATATGCTATTAGTGTTGGCAGCTGCAGGAAGGCTACGACTTCACGTTACTTTAGTACCTTATTATTAGGATTTGCATGTATGAAGATTTTACCCCACTAGGATCACACCATACTGATGAGGATCACCTGTGGAGAGGTCCCGGAAGCCGCGATCAGCCATTAGGCCATATTTATGGCCGGGCTATATTGCGGCTACTACTACTACTACTTCTACTACTACCACCACTACTACAACTTATACTACTACTACTATTATTTTAATTGCTGCTGCTGCTACTACAACTTCTACTACTACCACTGCTACTACTACTACCACTATTACTACAACTTATACTACTACTATTATTATTGCTGCTGCTGCTACTACTACTGCTATTGCTGCTGCTGCTACTGCTGCTGCTGCTGCTACTACTACTACTACTACTACTACTACTACTACTACTACTACTACTACTACTACTACTACTACTATTACTACTACTACTACTACTACTACTACTACTACTACTACTACTACTACTACTACTACTACTACTACTACTACTACTACTACTACTACTACTACTACTACTACTACTACTACTACTACTACTACTACTACTACTACTACTACTACTACTACTACTACTACTACTACTACTACTACTAATATTATTACTATGATATCCATCATAATCAGATCGAGATTGCAAGTCGTCTAAGTTTCAGTGACAAGACTGCTATTAGGGCTTCTGTGGGCATCTATCAGACGTCACTGGACACCCTGGAAAGTGACAGCAGTATTCTGGATGGAATGGAAATGTACTACGAGTAAGTTTCTCACATAGAAATTGATGCACTGTGCTGTTAATACATTCCCTCCTCCTTTTTTTTTCTGTATGAGTTGTTCGTAATACCTGGCCACAAGCCACGAGAATCACACTTGCGTGCACAATGAATACGACATGCAGGGCATTGCGTTACTCCCTTGATCTTCCACCCACAGAAGTGAAAATAAAGATCTGTCGTGCACTTGCGTATCTGCGAGTCAGTGCCGACACAAATCAGCCACTACACAGTGAGATTCGCTGAAAGAAGAGTAGCAGGTTAAAGAGATGAACATCTCGGATGGGTCACACTGAGGATACTAATCAGCAGGTTTGTTTAATTGAAGGTAAAGAAGGTGGAGAGGAATGGGTTCAAGTACTAGCAGAGTGGTGAACATCCTTTTCTGTCTGTACAAAACTAGACCGAGACTGCAAACAAACCCCGTTGGTGGTGGAGGCGGAAGTTCAAGCCTTGTTCTTGAGAATCTGCTGCTGGAGGTGCAGTTATTACACCGATGGGTCCGTCGTTTGTCATGTACGAAGCTCATAGGCTTTTACAATTCTGGTTGGAGGAAAAGAAGATAGCGATGCGTTTGCTTCATTTACAAGTAGTCTGACTATGGAAATTAGGGCGGTAACAGTTACTTAGCTAGGTTAAAAGGTTAGTTGCGTATTCTTTACAGGACGTTGCAGAACCAACCTCAGCAGCCCCTGGCTGTTGTGTGGTTTCTGTACGCAAATTTACGTCCATTAGTTTGCCATTGCCCCTGGACGGTCGGCTCCCTTATACCACTGTCGAAACCAACGCAAGGGGCATGGCCCGCAGCTGGGATCGAACCGGGCACCCTGGCATTACGAAGCGTACGCATCGACTTAGCCACAGAGCTGACGACTTAGCTAGAGACATAGACTTTCCCTCATTTTTTTTTTACCTTATGACTGGTTAGATGAACAAGCTTTATTTAAGAAGACCGAAACAGGATTGATGCACAGACAAAGGTTGGAGTCTCTGAGGAAATCTCGTCTGACAGCGATAGGTTTTGTGCTAGGACAATGTTTCCCAAACTCCTTTGGCACACTGCACTTTTTCAGTGCAAAATCCCCAAGCGCCCCTCCCCATTTTCTTGGAAATATTATCATCACGTGCCCTGTCGAAAAGCATAATGCAGTCATCATTCGTCATCCAATACAATCAGAAAAATTACGGACTTAGTGGTATTTTTACCCGTCCAATGCATATCGTCAAACCATCAAGGTATTTATCTCTTTGCTTTCCGCCGTCATTTTTCTAATAATCATGCAAGTTGTCATCAAGTTCTAGGGTCTGCTCCTTACATTAATATACCTTCTTATGTCAATTCTCCTCACAATTTTTGTTACTAATGATCCCCCCCCATCCACCTCTCTCTCTCTCTCTCTCTCTCTCTCTCTCTCTCTCTCTCTCTCTCACACACACACACACACACACACACACACATGGCCTAATTTAACTTTCTCAAAAATTGTTTCTTTTGACAGGGATAAATTTTACCTGAAAGTTCGCACCTATGGAACCTTTGAAATATTGCTTGTGCAGTTTAGGTTTGACTCTGTGTTGGCAGCTCAGGAAGCAAAGATGATCAAGAATCCAACGCATCTCATGTCTCAGTACATGGAGCAGATACAACAGCAAGTGGGCTACCCAAAGAATGTGATGGTGTGTAACATTACATGAATATGTTCAAGTAAAAATAATTAATTTACTTATGTGTTTTCTAAAGAGTGAGGAAATGCCTATTTTTATGGTTGAGACTATTAACTATCATCATTGTCTATGCAAGAAATGTGCGACAGTATAGCCAGTTCTGTCTCATTTGCGTAGCCTCTCTCTATATCTAGGCGCTTGAGATAATGACTATAAGCTGTCTTGACACAATTATACAAAATAAAAAAAAAAGCATTTAGAGATTCGTAACGTAGATATCACTGACAACATGTCATACACAATTACCCACAATGCAATGTCACTGGCAACTTCTATGGAGTAGCGGCTGTTAGCTCACGTGCCGACCTGAAGGTCTTGGGTTCAAATCCGCATCAAGTCGGATTCTTGTCAAATATCACCTTGGCTTCCTGATCGAACTAGTCTAAAAATTGTTGCCCCCCCCCCCCCCAAAAAAAAAAAAAAAAATTGGGGAGTAAAAGCGGCCGGCGAGATGTTGAGCCCAGCAGACAGCGAGTACCGATTGTTCTTCACAAATGTGAGTCTAGCATCATATGGACGATACGTCCCAGGCTAGAAAAGGACACTTTGCTTTCTGGACTGACAATGCTATTTAACCAGTGTTAAAGTAGTTCTTTATAGGTTTAACAACAATACTTGTGGCTCTGTTGATTGTTATTGGACTGCCAGTGAGTTCCAAGAGTTAACAAGCAGAACTTGAGAGTGTGAGAAATGTGTCCTTGTTCTTAGCCGAATGAATTGAAACTGCTGCACATGGTATTAAATGATGGTCAACACATTAGAGTATGGCGAACACAGTTCAGGAAACCCAGCATTTACAGCGTTAACTGAACTACTCTTTGCCACAGCAGAGTAAAGCACAGTCTTGTACTGACGCCAGAAATTATTATCAAAGATTAAGTAAGTAAGAATCAACAACATTTGCACTGAATACCATTGGAAATCAGAATATTATGTATCCAAGAATTGAGGTAATGATACCAGGCAGGAAATATAATATCATAAACGTTCGTGTCAAATGGTGAATATTGAATTAAAAATCGACACCACATCAGTCAGGACATCCCCATAAGCGCCCCGTCCCTATCTCAAACAGCAAACAAAGAGTTAAAATTTCTATGGTGCCAGTAACTGTCTGATTGTATATCCGTCTCGCCTTTCCCCTGGGTGTCGAATGTTGGCCAGATCACCTTGTAACTCCTCACAGTGCCATTCTCCTCAGACCGTAATAAACTATATGTTCTTCGGCACTGTTCACTCGCCCCCAAAGGGCCCCCACAACATCCAGCTTGTCATATATCAGTTCACCACTCCCCCCGTGTGGGTTCCGGGGCCCCATTGTGGGGAAAACAAGAATAGACCCACTGCCTCCCCAAAAGCATGTCGTAAGAGTCGACTAATTGGGGAGCTTCCTTTGAAGTCGGAGTGCATCTGCCGGAGAGGCAAGGAACCGACAGTCTGTATTCAAGAGAATGAGATCTGTAAAACTGATGCACACGCAACACTCAGGTTCTGGAGCAGGACTGCAGTTCAGTAGTGGACGAGCAACCAGAACCTTCCGCCAGAGTGCCACTCTGCACGGAGCATGCCTGTGAGTCAGTTACAATGATGACATGTGTGTACAGCTGATTATCAAGACAGCAGAAAGCAGCAGAGACCGCCTCAACCTCCATTCTCAAACTAGACTTTATGACATCATATGCCAGACTTTGTTGCACAAACGACGTCTTTTCGCCTTGACGTTCGAGTTAACGGTACCACAATCAAACAAGTACCAGAATTAAAATATCTTGGACGCATATTTACGGAGTCTAACAGACTTGATAGAGAGTTAGAAGCCATAGTACAGACGGCAAATGCCGTCACCTATAGTTAGCCCCACTGCTTAGACACCCACATTCTCCATTCCAGCAAAACAGCAAATGAATAATAGGATCTTTATCCCTACTTTAAGTTATCAGTGCCAAGCATGGACAATGATTAGGGCACTAGAACAGAAAATAACAACATGCGAAATGCGCTGTTTCCCTAAGGTCACTAACAGCACAAGAAGAGACAGAGTTATGAATATTAATATTAGAGAGTCAGTTGGAATAAGACTATGTCTGGATTATCTGACAAGCAAAGAATGAAATAGTTTGGCCATCTAATGAGAATGCAGCCAGGCCAAACTGCATATGAGACTGTTTACAGCAGAACATCTGGTAGGAATACGAGAGGAAGACCAAGAAAGAGATGGATAAATTGTGCAGCCGAAACCACACAAAAACAACAACAAAAACGAACAAATCCAGAGAAACAAGACAAATATGAAAACCACGACACTGGTCTACAACCTGGTATCAGTGAGACTGGATAGCAGCTGCTCCGTATTTACGTATGGTTCCCTTTCGCATGGGTACATGGACCTCAGGATCATTTAATATGGCCACGGGACTACACTAGGGTTCTGCAATTTCACTTGTGCTCATCAATGTGTATACAAGCAATATTGCAGAACTTGAAGCACCAGGCGTTGAAAGGATATTGACATTGTCCGATGATGTTCTTGTATATAGGCAGGGAGCGATAGGCAACAAACAGCTTAAGAGCTCGGCGGTGAGGCATAGTCACAGAAACAGGTCCGCAAGTAACATATCGCTGAGACCATGTTAGAGCATTTGTTTCGTTTTTCCGAGCCGATCCTAGATTTACCGCGATTTGTTCGTCGGCAGGAAGTTCGACAATGGAAAGTGTCAACGGTCGCTATTTTTATTATCGTCTGCTACTATCGTCTGCAGTGTTGCGTGCGTCTCTTAGAATTGTCAGGTAATCAGAAACAATAAGAAACAGGTCCGCAAGTAACATATCGCTGAGACCCTGCTAGAGCATTTGTTTCGTTTTACGGAGCCGGCATATTTTTAATATCACTGAACTCCATTCGGATATTTTTGGATATTTTATGGCCAGAATGGCTCTTCTCCGAACGGCATCTTATTATGGCCGCCATATTATGATGCCGTTCGGAGGGGAGCCGAATATGGTTTCTCTCTAGGCAAATCATTTGATTCGCTGACTTTAGATGTAATATAGAATTGGTTCTGTATAGACTTTTTTCTCTTCTGACATCATTCTTTTTTTCAACTCATCTAGTGACTCCAGTAGCACTTCTGGGAATCTTATTTCCATAGTTACTAATTTTTTTTTTCTTTTTTATTGTGATTGACTGTGTCTGGATCTTATAGCATAGGATGGGGATGAATATATTTTGTATAAGATGTTCTTTTGTGGGAAATTGTGCTCCCATATATTTACTTAGATGCATGTTTAATGCCTTACACGATTACTGAAACAAATGTCTAAAACAACCTAAGTTCAACTGTTTCAAAAAAGAGGCGCACTTGATAATTAATGCCACGTTGATATTATTGTTCAGGTGATCAGTTTATCAACGGCCACACATGAGACTTTTCAAGTTGAACTGTTTCAAAAACCTGACTGGGACAGGGCAGTGAGGTATGTGCAGATCCTGGAGCTGGGCATTCAACGGACGAAGAACCAGATCAGCAGTAATGCTAAGAATTATCATCTCATTTATCGACTTAATCCTTTCCTAGAGAATACAGGTAAGCATGGTCAGCGTTGTCAAAATCATAACTCCTCATCACAATTTGCTCAGGGCAAATACATTCTATTTATTATTATTATTTTTGCTTCATAATTACTGCTGCTCTTCCTCCCTTAATACCGCTACCACCACAACCACCACTACTACCACATCACCACAAACATTTATATTAATACTACTAGTAATTATAATACCATTACTACTAATATTACAACTTTTACTACAACCCCACTATCACAACCAACATTGACTACTACTATAACCGCAACTTTCACCACCGATACTACTGCTGCCGCTATTGTTGTTACTAAAACTGATGTTGTTCGTCCATCGAAAGTAATGAGGACCACTCTTTCTTTCACCCTTCATGAAACTTTATGTGACTGTCCTTGAAGAAGAGTTGCGCAATGTAGTCCCACCTCATTCTCTCGACTGTGTCCATTTGAATAAAGTAGCAGGACAAGTCGAGACGACTGGAGATGAAGCCAGGTGCAGTGGATGGCCAGAGTTTTCTACGTGCTTCCCCGTTCTCTTTGCGCTACGCAGGGCATTGCTGGTACTCGCCGTCAGGTCCGTTGAACTAAGTATTCTGATTTCCCAAGTACATTTAGCCTAGTCCAGTCTTTGGATGTTGGATATTCAGATCATAACTCATCGAAGGTTACTAACCATTCGGCTACTCACACCTGGTTTAGCTGGCCTTTAAATTCGTTGACGGGGGGGGGGGCAAGCTTCATGCTGGCAGCCACGTGGAGCCACAGGTGAGAGCTGGATGCCAGACTTGGCTCAAAGACAGGTGAGCTGTCCTAAAAAAGACATGACAAGCCCTAACACCTTTGCTACTATTTTACTGGTGCCAATTCATCTTTCCAGACTATAGTATTACATTGCGCTATGTGGAGGCATGGGACTTACAGCCCATGGTGATTGCGAGTTTGACTAGCAAGACCCACCTGCGTAAAGAAAAGTCTTGCACAATTACAGAATGGGATTTCAGGACCGTTGTCGTCAGCATCTGTGTTAACCCTATTTCTTCTCAGACGCTCAACTGTCATCCTTTATGTAATCCTCCATTTACTATATCCCTTCCTGCTGCCCCCCCTTCCCTATAACATGGTCTATGGCATATAGTTCCAATGAGTACTCTTCAATATCTGTATCATTCACGTCCCGCTTGCACACATCTTTATTTCGTAGTAGAGGTTAGCCTCGGTATCTTCTACCCGTCTTTAATTCACCATAGAGGATGTCTTTAGGGACTCTTTCATCCTCCATTCTCCAGCTGTGACCCAGCCACCTGAACCTTCGTAGAAATGAGCAGAGAGAAGACTGTTGTAGTATTTGCTCTTTCCAGTACTTCATTGACTGTGATCTTGTCCCGTCACTTAATGCCTTTTATTCTTCTCAGGTATCGCCGCTAGTAGGACAATGAGGA